TGGCATCAAGTAATTACTCAATAAATGTTATTCGTTATTATAATCTTTATAATAACATTCTTCCTGAATGTCCCTAAACAGCTATAGACTCATAATTCATAAGGACCTTAGGCCTTAGAGGTAATTTAGTTCAATTTCCCACAAAATGTAGTATCATCTCTAAAAGTTCTTAATATTTGGTCAACCATGAAGACAGTTAAATACTCGCACTTTTCAAAAAGCACAGGCATGATACAGTTTTAATAATCAGGAAGTTATTTTATGTAGGCTACCTACTCACTACTCACTAGTCTCTTATTTTTGTCTCCTGTACAACTGCAAAACAAGCCTCAACCTCTACCCTCTTTCACCAATACTCCAGTCTCTAACTAGTTAAAAGGTCAGTAGGACACTTTGTTTAGGAAAGTAAAACAAATTTTGGCAAAATTTACTCAACAACAGAACTAACAAAACTAAACTGTTACATCAGAATTAGGCTAATCTTTGGATTCTGAGGGATTTGGCAACAATATTCATATTTATCACGCAATCTATTTAAATAAGATTGTAGACTCTCTGTCAGGCTGCTTTCCAAATTGTATACAGAGGTACAATTTTTGGTCCTTTTTTTATAGTCTAGTTATTTCTCTATGAAGTCCCTTTGGTTACGTTTTATTCCCCTCATGATATTCTTTTCCTGCCTCTGTTCCTATCTTGCTCTCTCTTTTTTCTTTCATCAAATAATCATTCAACAAATATTTATGCAGTACTACCAAGTATTGGGTGCTGTGCTAGGCATGGAAAAGTCAAAGATAATTAGATCAGGCTCAAATTACTCACAGGCTAAGGTTGGAGAGACAGACATAAAAATAGTCAAACATTGTGGTGATGCAGTGGAGTAGATATGCACTGGCTACTGTGAGAATACCAGGAAGGAAGAAGTGGCCTAATGGACAGAATCAAGAAAGGTTTCCAAAGGAAGATAACTGCTAATGAAGTCTGAAGTGAGTCTAAGCAGTACTGCTCAAACTTTAAATCACCTGAGAATCTTGTTTGAAAGATTCCGAGTCAGTAGATCTGGGTGTGCTGCATTTCTATCAAGCTCCAAAATAATGCCCATATTGCTGGTTCCCAGACCATTCTCTGAATTGCACATGACTAATGACTGTTGATAAGGGATGGGTGGGGTGAATACAGGCAGAATAGACAGTGTGCAGTAAATCTCAGAGATAAGAAACACTGTGTGTGTGAAGAGATTGAAGCAGATTGGTGTCCCAGGCAATCTGAGAGATCATCAGTTCCTAAACTGGGGGCGGATGGGAGTATGGTATATTTTACTGAAGTGAATTAAGAAGTGAATTATTTACATAGGTAATAAGGCATATCAAAATAAGCGGACAGTTAAGTGGTAAAAACTGCAAATCAGATCTGGTGACTTCATCGGTAGAATCAGGGGAAAGAAGATAACATGCTAGGCTACTTTAAATAAATCTGCTAATGATGGTGAGGGCCTAACTTAAGGCAGTAACAATAGATTTATTTCAAAGGAAACTGACTTGGAAAATGTTTAGGAGATAAAGTAGGTTGATTGTATTTTCACTTATAATTTAAAAATTAGGCAAGCTGTGATTTCTTTGCATTCTTTGCAGGCCTGGTGTTTATTCTTAATCTGACATTTAGTAAACATGTGATGTTGAACAAGCCACATAACCTCTTTCTGCACCAGGTTCCACATTTTAAAACAGTGAAGAGTTGACCCAAATAAACACTGTGATCTCTCAAAAGCCTAAATTTTATGTTCCTATGAACTAAATTCATCTCTTACCGAATATGAAATCATAAAATGTATTCTTAAAATGTACCACAATACCTGGAATATAAATATACATTGTACAACTAATATTGAACCTACCTAGCCAACAGGTATTAAAACTTGAGACTTTTTAAATTCTTCCTCTTCTTTACCCTCGACATTCATTACTGAGTCCAGCTGCTTTGTACTTATGTCTTACTTGTGGTTCTTTGGTTTATACCTTTATTCTTTTTAAAATGGATTCCTGAAATAGCATGTTAAGTGTTCTCTCTGGTTCCAATCTAAACTCTTTCCAAACACTAACTGAGAAATTGAAGAACTCTGGAGTCAGAAAAACCTGAGCTTGAATTCTAAACCCATTGTTTCTTAGCTGTGTGATTGCTAGCAAGTTAATCTCTTCAAACTTGAATTTCCTTATCTGTAAATCATAAAGATGATATGAAGATTAAATGTTTGTAAAGTGTTTAACACAGTGCCTATTACACAGTAAGAATCCAACGAATGCTAGTTATTATTTTGAAAGACAAATCCCATAAAGACTTTAGCAGACATTTGGCAAAAAGGAAAATCAAATGGCCAATAAAAAATGAAAAAATCTTCTTCATTAGTAATCAGCAAAATGCAAATTAATACTTCCATGAGTACAATTATGTACCCATCTGATTAGTAAAATTTAAGAACTTATCAATTAAATGTTGATGAGGATATAGAGCTTCTCAGACATTGCTGATGTGCCTGATTGGGAAAAATACTTAGAAAAACAAAATGTGCACATTCCCCAAAATTCAGTAGTTTATTGCTTTGATATTATTCATCCTAGAGAAGCTCTTATACACATATACTAGAATTTATGAGCATAGAATATTGTATATACTCTATTATACATGTATTTATTATACATGTATTTATTATACATGTATTAATATATATTTAATAAATACATATAATTCAGATTATGTATCATATATACATATATATTAGTATAAGTAATATTTAAACAAATGTCCATCAACAGTAAAATGGATAAGTAAATTTGGTATATTCATGGAATAGAATGCTGTACAACAATTTACATGAATAAACTACATGCAGCAACCTGAAAGAATCGTAAAATGTTTAGCAAAACCAGGTGATTAAGAATATATATGCCATGATTACAAGATAGGAAATCTACGAAGAAAAGTAAGGGAACAAGCATGACAAAAGGCAGGGGAGTGGGAGTGGTTATTTCTAGTGGAGAAAGAAAAGCACGTGACCGTAAATGAGCACACGGGGACTTACCGGGAGTCTATTTCTTAATATAAATGATAGTTACATGAGTTACATGAGGTTTACTTTATAATTATTCCTTAAAATGCATTTTTATACACTCTTCTATATGTATGATATTTTTCACAATTAAAAAATAAATGTGATCATGTCAATCTCCTACTTAAAATCTTTCAAAAGTTCTTCATTTTTGAATAAAATCCTAATTCTTAGCTTTGTCTAAGAGATCTTTTACTATATATCTCTTGTACTCGTCTTCGGCTCCATCTATACCACCCCTGTTTACACCCCAGCATGGTAAATGGCACATAGTGCCCCCAAATGATCATGCTATCTTAAGCCTGTGGACCCTTGAAAAATGTCCCCATTACTCCTCTTCCTCCAGTTAAGCTCTTATTGTCCTTAATATTCAGCTAAAATATCACTCCCTGTGGTAAGCCTTCCTTGACAAATCCCCACCCATCTATATCAGACTCTCCTCTGCTGCATTTCTTTCAGCACCTTACATCTACCCATTTAACAGCACCATATAAGTATCACACTCTTTAGAATATCTCTCTCTCTTTTGACAGCATATTTTATTGTGCTACACTTTTAGACTAAAAGCTCCTTTAAGACAGGTATTGTCTCTTTCATCTATCCTAAGAGTTAAGAATGATATCTACATCATAGATTCTCAATAAATGTTTGCTTAATGAATAACTGTTTAAGATGGAACAATATGATATGTTTTCTACATCAGTGAGAGTGATACATAACTCAAAATATTAAGTTTGGCCATATAAAACTGCCCTTATTTTAGATTGAAAACAGTTGCTTATTTGCAATTACATATGATTCCCCTTTGTAACAAACATTCATTTAATATATGTTGACTAAGCACAGAATAGTGATGACTATTATATCTGCTCTCTCAATATAGCTGTAAGCAAACGGTAATGAAAATCACGATGTGAAATAAGTATAGGGTTAATTTCATCAGTCTTCTGCAGTTATAGGTTATGCATTAACTCACAGGAAAGCCCACCTACCCAGAGTTATGCAAGCCACTAAGCAAATGAAAGAGAGTTATTGATCACTAGCTCAAAACAGCTTCTCACAAGCACCACCGTCATACTCTGTCTCAAAGATATTATTTGACAGACAACTGGTTCATCTCTGCTGGAGTCTATTGATTATTGACTTTGGTGACTATGAAGCATCACGTATTTGATTTTAAAAGATATTTTGCCTGAGTGTGCTGATATTTTTATAAGATCATAATTTTTAAAAATTATTTCAATAAATCAGAGCAACTGGATTTATTTTTAATATTGTTTTTATCAAGCAAAAGAATTTAAAGGCTAAAATCTGAAAAAAATTGGGTTTTATAAAACTGTGATGTCATTTCTATTCCTTTATTTCTAAAAGTCTAAATATTATGTTAATATATATACATTCCTATATAAACATATAAGAGTATATAGGAATGTATATATGTGTGTATATGTATACAAATACATATATGCATATATATATGAAAGGAATTGATCATTATAATTTAGCTCAGAAACAATTCTTCTACTAAAGAGGATGAATTGGTAAATATAGAATTATGCTGCAAATAATAAAAACCACTGAAAAATACTGTTAACAACTGTTACTCAGACTCATGACATTGTTCATCATAGCCTTCTTACATAGGCTGGCATTATCCAGGGTGGTAGCATCATGGTGTTATACAATGAGCCCATGTACCTCAAGACCTCATGCTGCTATAAGTGGTATTAATAGTACCACACTATCACTTAAATATTCTGTTCTATTGATTTTCATTCTTTAGTTGGCCTTATTTGGAGCGCTATTTCTTCAGTTCCATAAACTAAATCATATGCAATATTTAAATGTTATATAGATCATTTGTTTTCTAATAAGGAACATTTTCAGATTTGCAACTCACCACTGCTTATATGGTTTCTCATCTATAGGAAATGGGTCTAATTCAACAGCTTCTTGCATGAGTTGCCATAACAAAGATCTGAGAGGATGCTGCCATTGGTGTTTCTCATGTTAGCCTAAAATCAAAGCAAAAACACAGACAAGTTTGATTTTAACATTTAAATGGGAATTTCACCTGCATTGAGAAATCCAAAAGACTGACAAAGACAATTGGTGATGGGTGATGCTGAGGAGAAAAATAATATATCTCGAGGTAGTCCACTCCATAAAGTTAATCACAAGCACAAGAATTTTGGTTTTACCAACACCAGCATAGCTGGATATTTTGAAATCTGAACATGAGCCCTCATTTAGTAATTGTTACATGGAGTGATATGATATTTGGTTTTGTGATATGGATTTGGTTTTGTGATACAAGGTACTCTCCTCAGCTTCAACTGAGATAGCTCCACTGTTATATATTTGTATATTTTCCCTTTCATAAAAGATTTCACTAGAACAATGTGTTACACAGTTACAGAAAAAAAGGGGGAGGAGAAGTTTGAAAATCATTTAAGTATATGAAATAAAACTAAAGTTGGTTTGAAGCAGAAAAGAGACCTGTAGGCATGTTTTTCCATAATCTGATCTAGTTACAAAAGGTTTATAAAGTCAATCTATTTGTTACTTTTCAATATTATATTGGACCAGATTCTGCAGGACTGTGCCAGTTTCCAATGTTCTACCCATTATCAAACCATAAGTTTTGATTTCTAGTTTGGAAAGTATGGTCACCAGTCCCAAAACAAACCTCCTCTCTGCTCCAAATAAGAGTTCCCTTCCCGGCCAGGTGCTTATAATTGCTGCTCCTCACCCCCCACACCCTTCTGCCCCCAGGCCATCCCCATATGGCTCCAGAGTCACTACCGCCATTTCAGAGAAGGTGAATTCCTTCTCTTCTGAATTCCTATTGCATTTATTGTCAAATCATTAATATAAGCTTTTAATCATATATACTAGCGGTCCTCAACCTTTTTGACACCAGGGACTGGTGCTCCTATGAGAATCTAATGCCTGATGATCTGAGGTGGAGCTGAGGCGGTGATGCTAGCGCTGGGGAGCGGCTGCAAATACAGCAGCTAGCTTGCTGGCCGCATACATCCGGCTGTGCAGCCCGATTCCTGAAAGGCCACAGACCTTACCAGCCTGCGGCATGGAAGTTGGGGACCCCTGATATATACCATCTTTGTTATTTAACCTCATTTTCCTAAATTACTATAAGCTCCCAAACGACAGAAACGTGTTACCGTTTCCCAAACTCTGCCACCCATAGCACTTAGCAAAGAACTATACAAAGAAGACATTTATTCAAAGAATATTTATTGTGCCTTTACTATGTGCCAAACAGACACAATCAGTCCCTGATGGAGATTATAATTTAGTAGAGAATGCGGGACACACAGGAATAGGCAATTATCATATTGTATGATGTGCTACGACAGAGGAAGTACAGACACTGAACAAACAGTGCCAAATTAACAGTCTTAAGAGCTTTCCTTCACTATCGGTGTTTTCAGATCCAACTTTCAATGTTTGAAAAGGGGACAATTACTTTAAGAAACTCATTTTCAAGAAACACAAGGACCACACAGGCAGGTTAACATCTAAAACCCAGGAAGCCGTTTTACTTCTATGGAGACAAGTCACTAAGATGAATTTTTAGTACTTGTAAGTCACTACTGTGTTATGCTCTTTTTTTATTTTTTTTTCCCTGCTTTCTAACACACACACACACACACACACACACACACACACACACAATGTAGCAAAAATTCTGTTTGTCGCTGTGCAGGCCACTCTGCAAATGCCCGACTGCCCTTCCGGGAAACTTCATTTTACACCTGCACATCACACGGGTTTTAGAGCAAATGTGGATTAGGAAAGCTTCAGAGGAAACTTCAGTCATTTCTTTTTCCATTCAAAACTCTAATTTCCATTCCTACAAGCATTAGTTTTATAAGCCTGTGGGTTTTACATCTCATAGTCACCAGAGATAAGAACAGTAAGAAAGGGGATAGGTAGCTCGTTAGAAAATCCTTTACCAAAAATAGGTATAAATTAGTGGTCCACTTTTCATATCAAAAACATCTCTATTTAAGAATATTCAGTAACACCTGAAGTCTCCATTTAGAGTTTCTACCACGATTCACAGTAAAGTGAGTGGGGAGGAGAGTACCTAAAACGTTTTTCACTTTCCCCTCTTTGCCTTTATTTTCTCATAAGGATAAAATGTAGTCGAGCTAAATCCTTAGTCAAAACCTTACAACTTTGCTATGGAAATATGCACAGATAGGTAAACTTCCGAAAATCTAAGCTCCAATTCTAAATTATATTTTGTCTTTCAAACAATCAATATGCAGCATGATCTTTTATCTGAATCAGCAGCGGTGTCTCATCTCAGATTTATGTAATGCAATAAATATATCTAATATGCTCAAGAAAGAAATGGATTCTGTTCTTCTTTACCAATAAGCATCTCTCCCAGTCACGTACAGGCCCAACTTTTTCCACAAGTCCTTGGTCCTCTGAAAAGGTATAAAAGATTCATGTGTGGTAGGAAGGAAACACTTAGACTGCAGCAAATACAGCACTGTACTCCTTCCCTGCCATTCTTGACACTTTGTGCCTCTTTTTGCATAAGTGTTGCAGCGTCCAACCCAAAGCTTAAAGGAGACTACAAGAGAAAGTAAGGGCAAGGAGAAAGAATTTAAAATGTCAATTTGCTTACTTCTTATTCTAATTGAAGGAAGTCTCTCTTGCTTTGAGTCCATTATTCTCATAAGCAACTAAACAATGATTGGTTCTAACACACTGATTCCATACAAAGTCCTCTAGCTACAAATGTGACCTAAAGCCAGAACTAGAGCAGGAAAGGCGAGCACCTGCCCCCATTAACAAACAAGAAAACCTCCAATTTGTCTTTATCTTTTATCTTCAGTATTAAAAGACTTTTTCACTAAGATTACATCCAAAATAACAAAGTCATTAACATAAAGCCACAATAAAACTTTTAAAAAAACCTTTAAATGTAGAAGGTTTTACCTTAAACATGGGAGGCTTTTCCACATTTCTTAAGTTAGGCAGATTTCTTTTGCTAATGATATGTCTATAGAATATTCTAGCAAGGGAAATCCTATAAATTTTCCTGTACTTTTAAAAATATATATATATTTTATAGCATCCACAATCAATTCTCAGTTTATTCTAACCTTGCAAAATATTGACCACATACTAAGAAACTATTAAATACTAAGAGCTACAGACATACCAGACAATGACAGCAAAAACACACTCGGTCCCTCAGGGATCTGTTCATAAACATCCCCTTCCAGAACGGCAAATGCACTCCTCCCAACACCAGATGCTGTTCTGGGGCAAGCAAGCAGGAAGCTGGAGGCGGCTGATTTTTCCACTCCACATATAATTTCTTACTGCCTCATCATCAAGAAGCTTTTTACCAAAACTGTAAAGATTTTGTAACACCAGGAGACCATCCAATTAAAGATACTTTGCAACAACAAGAAGGACTGGTGTGCAAATGAGGAAACATAAAGACTATAATATTTAAGGTCATACCACCTTTGTCATCTGATTTTCTAGTTCCATTGTGGGGGAGAGAAAATCCAATTTGTTCTATGTGGTAAAATAAGCTAATCCAGTACTTTCTGTCAATTATGAGAGTGAGATCAAGGTAGAGAAGAGAATACATACTAGAGGCAGCAAAACTGCTACATCCAAACTGTCCGACCCCTAAAATCCAATGGTTCCAAAGTGGAGTCAGAAGCTGTGAGTTCATTCGTGAGCATCTCTATCTACATTTACAACACATATGCTCACTTAAGGCAGAAAATTTACAGAAGCCTTTCAGTGAGAAATGTTCATTCCTGCAACCATTTTTAATACATTGATTGGCATTCTATGAGATCTTCCAGGGTCCGAAAACTAGCAGTCTAAGGATAGAGGGAGAAGCTGGACCTTGGGCTGGCAATGCCTGGTGCACTTGTATCTGTTTTCCTTCTATCTGATCTGTGGCCTGTCCCATATGACTTAGCCTGCCTCTTTCCGGTTCGTTCATAAAAGTTATCATCAACACACCAGCAGTAAGCAGGGCTGCTGTACAGACACTGTCGGGCTCTGCAGCAAAGACAGCCCATGTAAACAACCTGGTGATTGCTTCAGAGCTGACTGCCTTGGGATAAGCCATTCTTCTGTGGCTAAACTGCAGAACCCTGGGAAGTTATATCTTTAAGAGAGTGAAAACAGAGATTTAGTTTCTAGATTTAAATGTAGAGGGGGAAAAAAGAAATAGATGTGTGTATATATAATTTTCTTGAACTATCTCTAACCTTGATTTACTTGAACATTTTCCAGTAAATCACATTTATTTGCCGAAGGCACGAATACATAAATTCTGATAAACATATTACCATGCTCATTTCTAATGATATATCTTTTTTTTCTCAAAAGAGCTCTGACATTTCAAGGGGACACAGTATCCCAGCACAGAATACCTGGGAACCATGCCATAAAGAAAAAAAAAAAAATGCTGCCTGCTGTGACTAGGAGATCACTTTCTTAAAGGGACCCCTTACCTACATGACTGCAGTGCCAATGTTTCTTCTTATCTCTAATCTGACCCCTGTTCTGTGTTCATCTCCCCAGGCCAAATTTAGCCTAGAGTGTCTCTGCAAGAGTAATGCCATTAGTTTTGCAACTAAAATATATAAATATCATTCCCTACTAAAATATGTAAATATGTTCCAAAATATTCATTTAAGTTACACTTCTCAGGAAGTAAATATAAATGCATACTTAGAGACATAATTTTTAAATATTTTATAGAACCTACAGCATGTCTGAGATATGGGACTGAGGTCAGCACTTCTAACAAGCACAGCTGCTCACTCACTCTCGCTCTCTCTCTCTCTCCGTTTTTTCTCTTCCTTTCTGTAGCTCTGCATTGGTCTAGAAATCTCTGGTCACAATTAAAAAAAGCTCCCTCCCACCCTTTGCCAACCCTCACTCCAAACAGAAAGGTTCCAACACACCCAAGTCTGGGAAAAGATGCTTCTCACAGGAAAAGCTGGTGGTTTCTTGTCTCGGAGGTAGCTCACTTCATTAACCTGCTTTCCACCCTATCTTTCCCCCCTCTCCCATCCTCCTCCTCCCACCCCAGCAGGAGCAATTAATAGACATCACCGCACCCTCCAAAAACAGGTTAGAACCCAGAATGAGCAAAGAGCCACCTACCATTCCGTGCTTGAGAACTACGATCCTGATCCAGCAGTGTTTGCCCCAGAAATTCTCCCTACTTGTTTTTCATTAACCACATTCCAAATTGTAATAAGGAACAGATTCTTTCGAGGTGGGAAAATTGTTTAAAATTAATGATGGACAGGTGAATTCCAAGAAAACCCAATCTAAAAGTCACGCAAGCCCCTAGGAATTGAGGGGTAAGAAGAAAAAAGGAAAATTGTAAAAATGAAAAAAGAAAAGAAAAAGATAATAAGCATATAATGAGCGCCACCCACCCCCATAAAAATAAAAAGAGAAGGGGAGGTTTTTAAAAAGAAGAAGAGTGGCTTGCTGAATCACCCTCTTTCACTGCCTGGAAACCATTGTGCAGCGTGATGCTGCCTGTACCATTGTGGAACCTACCAGAGGAGACGAGCAGAGGGCTTGGGGAATGGGGTTGCTATGGCAACTGAAAGGAGCACACGTGACGTCAAAGCCCAGAGAGGTCTAGGGAGGGGTAAGAGGGGGAAAAAGTCTATGTGCAGCTACAGCTACTGTGTTTTCCGGTGAAATAAGGACCAGGCAAATGGAAAGGAGTGGGGTTTGCTGGAAGCCACTATCAGCAACTACGACATCAGGCAGCCGGTCTGCACAAAACGGAGAAACAATCCGCTCCTTGCAGCGTGGCCCTGTACACAGCCGCGCTGAGGAACAAATGCCCGCCGACCGAAACACAGTCAATCTCTGCTTTTCAGCTAGCTCAGTTTTTTGCGAACACAAAGAGACATATAGTATCTCTAAATGTCAAAGCAAAACAAGGATGGTAATAACCTCAGAGAGGATGTGAGCATTTGAGTCCTGCCTGGACTCCAGGGGTCATCTGCAGAACGCTATTCCTCTTCTCTGTTTCCCTTGTTTTTAATAAAAATTCTAAATAAATACCCACTAAATCGAACTCAACAAAGTGATTCTTAGACTGCAATTTGAATATGGAAAGAACATATAGATAAATTGAGTTAACAAATCAGTGCTTTTTATTTAATTTCAGATAATTCTCTTGAAAACTGATGTAAATTGCATTACTATTTGGGGCAAATATCTCAATTTTAAGTAATTCGATTGTTAGAGTGTACTTTTAAGTCTCCATACAGTTTTAACATCCACAAACAACAGTTTTTTTAGAATGAGAGCAGTTGACTACTTCCACTACTAAAAAAAGATTACCAAAAATGTTTAACCTTTTAAAAATATTTTCTTACATAAGGAAAGTTTTCAATACATGTGTGGCTTAACCAGCTTCAGCCCTTGAAATTCTCAAGTTACCTAATCTGACCAAATTCCTTTTTTATTTAAACAACTTCGATATGGGTTTCTGTTTACTACAACGAACCAAGTAGTGCTGAGTGTTATACTATTCTACATTGTTTTAGAGCTAACATATTTACACGAATAAGGAGCTCATTGCACATGTTAACAGAAAAGATATAACATGCCACGGTTATCAACACAGCAGTGATTGTGGACACTGAAACACATAATACTGTATAAGACCACATCAGGTTTTATGGTGGTGGTGGTTACTGCTATCATTTTATTCAGGAGGGAATCTAGCAAGGGAAAAGCCTGGCATGGGTTTTCTGTCTTTTTAATCCATTGGACAAATTTTTGGATGTCGCTTCTCTCTAATAATCAACAAGAATCAGTTGATTATTAACTTTTACTCTTGGTAATTGGCCTACCTATAAGATGGCTATGTCTCAAGCAAAAATACGTACTAATTAGCCAAACAACTTTATAATACAATGTAAATGACATTCAGGCTTTTCAATTATTGTATTCTAAGTTTGGGTATCAAAAGTCAATTCCCTATAACTGGATATCAATGAAGAAAGCATAAACTTCAACTCTTACTTCACATGGCAAACATAAAAATTAATCCAAGATAAATTACACACTGAAACATAAAAGCTAAAATCTATAAAACTATCAGAATAAATGTATCTTTATAGCTTTCTGATCTTGGAGTAGGCAAAGATTTCTTAAGGCACAGAAAGTACTCATCATAATAGAAAAAATAGGCAATCGAAATTAAAAGCTTCCACTTTCCAAAGCCATCGAGACTTGCAGAAAATATTCTTGATAAACATACCTGAAAATGCTTTTGATATACATGAATTAAAAATATCTTAAAACTCATATAAAAACAAATAATTTTGTTTAATGGGCAGAAGTTTTGAGCAGCCACTTAACGAAGAAAGATTCATAAATGGTCAATAAGTATATAAAAAAGTTTCAACATCATTGGTCATCAGAGAAATGCAAATTAAAACTGTAATAAATATCATTTTACACCCACAAAAGCGGCTAAAATTAAAAAGACTAACAACAATAAATATTGGGTAAGATATGGAGCAACCAGAACTCTCCTACATTACTGGTGGGAGTATAAAATAGTAAAACTACTTCGGGAAATGGTTTGGCAGTTTTTTAATGATAAACATACACCCACAAGATGACTCAACAATTCTATTCATAGTCACCCAAGAGAACAGAAACATATGTCCATAAAAAAAAAAAAAGTTGTACATAAATGTTTATGCCAGCTTTATTTATAATTGGTAAAAACTGGAAACAACTCAAAGTGTATCAACAAGAGAATGGATAAGTAAATTCTAGTATAATCATAGAATAGAAAACTATTCAGCAATAAAAAATGGCAAATATGAATAGGTTAAAAACAATTTCTTCTATTAGGTATTAATTCTTGATGGCATAAGTTCCAAAAAGTGATAAATTCCAACTTTGTTTATAGATTCTAAGGTGGATTTTACAATTTAGAGCTTTAATTCTCAACCTACTCATTTTAGTAATACTGAGATGATTAAAATGTTCTTTTAAGTCTATTCTATACAGTATGCAAAAATTAATTTTCTAAAATTAGATCATTTAATACAAGTTCATTTTTTAAAAATCTTCACCAAAATAGATCCCATTCCTTATTGAATGAAGCCAAAACTGTCTATTTAAAGCCCTCAATAAGATGATTTGAATGAGTCTCTATTGCCATTTCTCAATCCAACATATGTTTTAGAGCCTCCCAAGAAGAAAATTTTGAGTGAGCAATAAGTTAGAGTTCGCTAACCTGAAAATCTGGCCTTATTATCTTGAATCCTGATTATGCAGACCCAAGCAGACCCGGTAATTGGAAAGGTCAGACTCAGGGCCACCAGGATCTTAAGAGAGCTAGCAAACCTTCTGTAATGGGGCAGACAATTGATGGAGGTTTGCCTAATAAACAAGAATTCAGATATTAAAAAACAGATTTTTCTGAGACACCTGGCAAAAAGTAGATTCCTAGATTCCACTCTAGGGTCTATCATTCAGTGTCAGGACTCAAGACACAAGGAAATAAAGAATTGGCTTTCCAAACAGTAAATGAATGGCAAAGGACTTGGGAATAGGGATACCTAAAGGAATAGAATCAGTGAAATTAGAGTGCCAAATAAGAGTTCAATTTCTGAATCCAAGTCTCAAGCGCATTCACAGGGGCCTAGCAGTAAAACCAACTAAGGTCTCGCATTGAAATTGGTTCTAGAGTAGAGTGACCAACTCATCCCCATTTGCCATGGACCTCCTGAGTTTTAGCAAGTCCCACATCCCAGGAAACCCCTTGATCTCAGGCAAACGGCAAAGGTTGGTTACATTATCCCAGAGTCTGGAATGAAATTGAAGTCTCGTGAGAATTAAAGATCCCAGCTGGAAAAAGAAAGAATTCAAAGAGTCCGTTGCAACAGTCATGTTGCTAAAGAGGAGAGTCACCTAGCTACACTTTCAACAATTAGATTATTATGCCATGAATTAGGATGTAGCAAGGGGATGCAAATAGTTTTATAAACACAATCAAAATTATGAAAGATAAATCAATAGAACTTGGTGAGTGAATAAATATAAGAGAAATGCAGAGGGTCTGTGTCGACTCAGATTCACTATCATTTCAAAATATATAATATCTTCTCTCAGAGAGTCAGTCATGTATTTTCATGGCGCTTCCACTTGGGGAACACTAGTCCTTTGTAAAACTATTCCATAGTTAAAAAGTTTCAGAGATGCTGCATATACTATCTCCATTTTGCAAAGTCACATTGCACATTACAAAATTAAAACACTGAGAACCTTGTGGTTAAGAAAAGAAACCTATTTAAATTTCCCAAAATTAAAGTTTATATTTCAAAATAATATCTCAAATGCCGTTTTTAATTAATGTCTTTTATCATTCCGTTTGGATAGAAAACAGCTTACCATGGCCATGATCTTCCCTGACGTGAACTTAAAATATTAATGGTTCCTTGTTTGATCCAGCAATTCTATCTCTAGGTATTTATCCAAAGAAAATAAAAACACTAACTCAAAAAGGTACATGCACTCCATGTTCATTGCAGCATTAGTTATAATAGCCAAGATTGGAAGCAACCTAAGCATCTATCGACAAATGAATGGGTAGAGAGAATGTGGAACATGTATACATTGGAATATTATTCATCCATAAAGAAGGATGGAATCTTGCCATTTACAACAACATGGATGGACTTAAAGTGCATTATGCTAAGTGAAATAAGTCAGAGAAATACAATTACCATATAGTCTCACTTATATGTGGAATCTAAAATTAAAACAACAAGCTCATAAATACGGAGAATAGACTGGTGGTTGCCAGAGGCAGGAGAATGGGTGAAATAGGTGCAGGGGGTCAAAAGGTACAAACTTCCATCTACAAAATAAATAAGTCCTGGGTATATAACATATAGCATTATGGCTATAGTCAATAATACTGTATTGCATATTTGAGAGTTGCTGAGAGAGTAGATCTTAAAAGTTCTCACTATAAAAAAAAGATCTATAACTATGCATGGTGATGAATATTGGCTAAACTTATCATGCTGCTCATTTTGCAATATACACAAGTGACGAATATTTCTGTTGTACATCTGAAATTAATGTAATGTTAGTAATATATCAACTGTACTTCAATAAAAAATAAAATAAATAAAATAAAATAAAATACTAGTGGTTCCTAATGAGTAAACTTTGTGATCTTTCAGTGTCATAGAAAGAAAAGGCATCTAACTCTGCACTCACTTTTCTATTTGATTAACAAACTTTATTTTTTAGAGCAGTTTTAAGTTTACAGGAAAATTGAGCAGAAAAGTATAGAGAGTTCCCATATATCCTGCTCCCCTTCCCCCCCAGTTTCCCCTATTAGTAACATCCTCATCGGTGTGGTAAATACGTTACAATCGATGAACAAATAATACATTATCATTAACTAAAATCCATAGTTTATATTAGGTTTGCTCTTTGTATTGTACAGTTCTACAGATTGTAATGGATGTATAATGTCATATTGCACTCACTTTTAA